GCTGTACAATCTCAAGTACTTCTAACAGACATGAAAGGAGAAAGCCTCAATCCCCAATATTACATTCAATAATTTCCCTAGTCGTCCTCAACGCGTCAATCTACGAAATAAACCGGTTAATTAAATCAATGCCTCTGATTCTCTTCAACAGGCTTGGTGATCTCGAAATCGTCTTCGTATCGACCATGATTCACATAATAAATTTTGCTGCGATACTGATACGGTTCCTTAACCTCGGCCTCAGCGGAGATCTGCTTTGGTACAAACAGAGTCTTCGGTTTGTAACTAATGCTGTTCGCAATTACATCGTAAGGCAACCTTGCCTGGTAATGCAGCAATTGCTGAATCTCTTTAGGCATACTCTGATCAAGAATTAATTTCTGAGGAGAGGGTGCTGGTAGTCTCTCAATAGGCACAGGTATATGCTCCACTTGTGTCCCTTGCTGCTGCTGTTGTTCGTACTCGTTTTGTTGCTGCTGCTGCTGCTGCTGTTGTTCGTAGTCATTTCGTAGTTGTTGTTGCTGCTGCTCATAATCATCCTTGTATACAATCCTACCCTGGGATCTTCTGTTCGTGTAATCTCGTCTGGACTTAGATTGCTCCGATTGCTCGTAGCCACTAGAAGATTGCTGGTAACCGTGATTCCTAGGTTGCTGATCGTACTGTTGGGCTGTCACGAAATCCGATTGATACAGTTCAGCCCTCGGCTCGCTGTAAGTGCCTTGCGTCTTGTAACTCTCCAAAATTCGTTTAGCGTGAGTGGTAGCGTCTGTGAACCTAGTATCCTGATTTTGTTGATTTTGCTGTGGTTGCTGCTCGGCTTGAGGTGCTGGGTATACTTTGTACTGAAACTGATCGGGGTTCTGCTCCTCGAATTGCTGCGGCTGAACATATCTTCCGTATTGTATCTGATTAGAAATCTGCTGCGTTTCCGGTTGGATCTCAGGTTGAGAATAAGCTCTATGGTAATCCTCGCCGACTTGGAGTAATGGAGATTGAGACTGGCTTGGATTTACTTGAGTTTGCTCGGATTGAGTCGCTTCCGCTTGTTGAGACTGTTGTTGGGAATTCTGCAGATGAGCACGCCATTGGTTCTGAGGAGCGAAGTACTTCCAATCGACCTTCAGACCTGACACCACGTTTAAGGATAAAATTATTTTATACAAATATTTCTTAGGACTATAGAAAGAAATATATGATGAATTATTTTTATAAGTATTAGTATGTGAATTAGACTCCTAAATTGATTACCATTCGGATCGTGATATTTGATCTGTGCCTGCGGTGCTCGAGACGGGCGCTGCGCGGTCTGTCGCTGCGCACCGGTAATCGAAATTAAGGCGGCAATTAAGAGAGCCTGCGAACAGAATGAAATAATTAATTGTGGGAAGTATCGCTCCTCGTTTCCGTCGAGGACGGACGCTAGACGATGTTGTAACGGTAACGGGATCGTTAGAAAGTGAAGTCGTCTTTCTCTGCGGCTTCGCTAGAAATCGACACCGACGATCACTATTCGCGCAATGAAACGTTCGTTTAACAAAGCCAGAAACATTTCCGGACTCTACGCTACGCGCAACAATCTATCTAACGTTTCACTTCCTTCTACGATGCTGGAAATGTTAACCGCGAGCACATTCGTAAAAAATGTTGACAATGCACCATAATTTCCGTATTTATTCATCTAGTTCGTCTACCCAATGTAAACGCAAGGAATCATTTATTAATATGAGGAAGTTAACTGTTTTTAATTTCATTATCAAAAGGAATATACATAGAAAAATGTAAAGAACAATATATTGAATTGTCGAAACCGAAATTAATAATACATAGAGTATCAAAGAATCACGTGGGAAGCATGTAACTGTGCCAATTATATTAAAATATATACAGTTACAACGTCAAAGAAACAACCCTGGTCACCGTCCAATAACGTTCACTTTTCCTAAACATTAGAGTCAGGCTCATATCCATCGAATCTGACACTGATAAAGCGTAGCAGATCTAAGATTCCACTAATACACTGCAAATAATTAGGTTTCCCACGAGGAAACAAAAACGTTTGACACTTGAAATTTTTCAAATACACTTAGGTCATTGGTTTTAGAAGAGTAGAAAAGTCGTAAATCTTGAAATTTGCCGTCTATCGTCGAGAAGGTATCAATATCGGAAGAGCTTAGTACACTCACTCGAAGTCTCATTGCTGGATGAGAGCGTGCGATGAACGTGGTAAGTTCGGTTCTACGAACGGAAATCAGTTGATGGGGCGGTCGTGGCTCTTCTATATACTCGGACTCGGCCCGGTGTAATTGGCTCGGCGAGCAGACGGCCGGTGGCTACCTACTTTTAAAGTAATTCTGCCTTACGGTAACGAGCGAACCACCTCGGGGCTCTCGGGATATTATCCCCGATTGCAAGAATGCGTCGCCGTTCGCTGGCGCAACTTCGGTTGCAAACTCGATCTAGGAAGCTGCGGAGAGTCCGAGGTTACTGGGCCTCGCTGCCTCACCCCGGAGAAAAACAGTCGACAAAAATTAGACATCGTCTATAGAATTTAAATTATAATCTTCTCTACAAAGAAATATGCGTTACATTAAGAGTTCAATGATGAACACTGATAATACTTTTTGATACAACTGAAGAAGATGGTGAAAGGATATACTGCATGAATATTATAATGTGTATTATAATAGAATAATATTATTAAGACAATTATATAGAATTTTGGAAAAATGAAATACATATGAAATATAGAAAAGAAATATTATTTCTTTTATTTTCGATAAAATATTTTCTAATAATGAAACGGAATTAGACGAAGAGTTTAGTTAGTAATAAAACTAAATACATACCATCGCGTACCACGTTTTAATTAACACAAAATTAAGACCTGTTATTCAATCGATTTCCAGTAAGTCAAAGAAAGACTGGAATCAATGAAACCGGTTTCGTAAATCGAATACTCCACCGTCGATTAAAGCATAACAAAGGAGAAAATAATGTAATAGCTACTATTATCACTATTAGAAAAATTTTTCAAAATTTCACTACGTATATTATAAAAATTGTATGCCAGTTTTCAAACGAATTGCACATGAATATTTTTAAAAATGCATTTTCAAATAACTACTAGCAGCAGAGAGAATTGCAAACTTTTCTTATCCGTAAATCAGGAAGCTAATTACTTAAGGAAAAAGACAAAAGCCATTCTTTCACTTTCGCAACTACTTTGCATAGAGATTACGCATAACTTTGTAACGTGTAAATTCCCATTAATTGTTTCAAATTACGCCTACCTAAAAGCTAATAACAGCGATAAAAATATTCGAGTGGCCAAGTGTAAAAGAGATAGCATTAGCTTTAACTCCGGTAAAATTCTTTTATATCGAAACGAGTCACTGCTTATGCAATAACCCTGAACTTCAACCGTGTAAAAATGCAACAAGACCAACTGTAAATAAATCGCGAAGCTTATTCTCGGATGAATCTTTCCTTTTCAAGAACAAATGAGTAATTCGTATGCGACCGAGATCACAATGTGGAATCTTCTCACCAGATTTATATACGCGATACAGATGCATTTTCGGAGTCTTTTTCTGAAACTTTCACACATTATTGGATTTACTTTTGTGTTTAGGATGCATTTGATGTTGTGAGTATTTTATTTAATCCACGTTTGATGTACAGTCATTGTTAATTAGTTTTGTAATTCAAAATTTTCTATTTTTTTATGGACATTGCGGAACAGTGTTCATGGAACTGATTGCAGAGGCGAGAATTTATTAAGCGGTTGTGAAAAAATGTCAGCAGCAGAAAACGAAATTGGAGGACATTATTCGAAGGCAACAGTTACGTATTCTAAACGAACTAAGAACGTCATAAAACGACTCTGAAAGGCGCACCACAGGCCTTTTTTGTCTCGGGCCTGAAAAATCACAGTAATTTTCGAAATTGATCCTCGTTATCGTTCATTACGACACGTACTCCGTAAGAGAAAAAGGAGAGCAGGAAGTCTTCACGTTCAAGCTGAAACGGACCAATTTTACTTATGCGTTAATTACGCCTTTACCTACGAAGTTTATTAACAATCTCTTCTTTCTTGTTAGGTAGTAATGAAATATGTTTCTATTATGCAAAGTTAAGGAACTGATTTTGAAATTACGTAACATTCTACATTAAATGTGACAATTAACTGTTGCTTCTGTAGACCAGAAGTCAATTTAATATTGCCTACCCCATTTATCTTATTTCCGAAGGCAACAACCTTAATTTATAAATTCGGAGTTGAGAATTGGTCATTATTATTTCTTAGAACAGAAGCAATGAAGTTTCTAATACTCCAGAAACGGAAAAGATGAGTAATTGTATAAAATGGTAACCATTGAGAAATTTTTTAATTATCAGATGTTCCTGCTTCTACAGGAATTTCTATTTCTTTGTAATCAGATTGTACATCGAATTACATAAAAATAACAAAACCCTTGTTACCGGCACGCTTTCAATAAATAAAAATGGTAATAAATTACATTCTCTACGTATTTTCACAGAATGCTGAATTACTTAATCTCACGAACTGTCTAGAAAACTGAGAATCGCGAATCAGAAAAAGGCTCTTGTCGACACGCATCGTTCCCTAAAAAGCGCTTTTCCTGTAACCTTCTGGAAAGCGAGTGAAATAGTTTTCATACCATTTCCTTGATAAACGTTACGTGTAAACTATTCCATTGTTACCGCTAACGCATACTTTCGACTTTATTATTGTACAGGGAAATCGATGATTTTTTTTCTGAAATTAGAAATCAATATATTTGTATGACATTATTCAATTAAAAATTGATTCTTCTGTATTGAAGTAAAACGCAATGAGCTTAAGATTTCTAAAAAATGCTTTTATTATTGGTAATACGTGAAGGAAATTTAGTTTAATTAAACGAATGATTTTTTGGAAATGTTTTCTAATATACCGGAAATTGGTATTAAATGAAAAACGATCGTATCCGGAGATTAACTGATTCCGCGTAGTTAATTAACCACGCCGGCCGTGTAACATGCGTCGTACCAAAAAACCATACGCGAATCCTCATCAAGGAAAGTTCCCCGATGATATTCGAAAGGCAAGACGAGAAAAAAGGATATGTTGCACGGAAGCCGGTGGAGAAAGTGAATCGCGAGGAAGAACTGTTCTTGAAAATATTAGTTTGGAGCACATACGAAATATCGTTTTCTTTATTTTTAACTCAAATAAATTGTCATTCACTTTTATACGTTCCTCAGTTATTAAATTCTAGCAGCAATAAAATTCCTGATCTCTTAAATAGTTTATTAATCACCTTTTGCACATTTTTATGTAACTGATCAAATAATTTATTTATCTGAAATATATTAAGGATTTTTCATTTTTAGTTAAATACTTTGACTGCTATTTTATCTTCTCGTCGATTTGGGTAATAATGCGTTCCAAGTACAGACCTATCAGAAATCTGAAGTAAAAGCTAAGTAGTGTTCCATGAATTCTTTTCTGCAATTGAACCAGAATTGCAACAGTGAATGGCTGCTATTAACAGGATTGGCAATTAAACAAATAATCACAGCGATTTATCGAGATCTCGTGGCAACGTTCGGTTGAGAGGTAAAAGTATAGCTCCGGACTGACTCACGGAAATATGGAAATGAAAGAAAGGAAGGTAATTGCAATGAGTCGTTAATTATGATAATTGCAGAAGTCTGACATTGCATGGCAGCGATAGCATTTATTGCATTTTTAATGATTTTATTTATATCTCAATAAGTGTAATAAGGAAATGGTGATAATTGACAATTTTAAAAAAGAATTAGGACTTTGCAATATTTGTTGAACCCAATTTAAGGCCGCTATTCAGAGTCGTTGCTTATTCTTAAGGGCAATATGGGATAGACAGGGATAGCAAATTCTTAAGACAATCTTAAGAATAAGCAAGGACCGTGAATACCGGCCTGAGTGAATTTTGAATAGTGACTCAACGTGGGTAACTTACGAACTTCTTCAACACGTTCACTATTCGCAGGATAAAGTACCGAGAGAACAGAAGTGAAATCGTGATACCTGCATTACTTGCAAATGTACATATCGCGAACTACTTGAGTAATCTCTTCTTAGTGTTTTAAAATGTTAGATATGTATATTTTCATATGTTTAGAAGTATTTGAGGAAAAACGAAATTTTTTTCCAAAAGTTCGCCATTTCGACGGTGGAATGGCCGGATTTTGTCAGTACCAATAAAGTGCTGATTAATGATACTTAACTCGTTAAATACTGAAGTTAGAAGAAAAATTTCTTGTAGAGGACGTCAATACCTATAAAGGTAACAAACTATTGTATAAAACTGAAGATTTACACATGATTCAGGAATCTCAGTGTCACATACATACATATTTATGATATTTAATTATACCTGCAATAGAAAGGTTCAATTTATTGAATTTCATAAGTTGTCCTATGAAATTCTTTAATTACTCTCGCGTGAATATATTTAATTAAAAAGAACACGTATTTAATTAATTGTTAATACATACAATATTATATTATATTATAACTTAATGAAAATGCTGTTCCGAGAAATGCGAATGGCAGATAGCAGAGGAAAGCCAAGCAGCACAGCGGCGCGACGATGGAAAGGCGTGGTAGCTACCCAGAAGATCGGAGTACAATCTGCATTATTCTGCGCGCAGGCGGGCATCAAGGCCTCTTCAGGTCAACGCGATCCAATCTGCCGTATAAAACGCCCCTCTCGACGGTCCTTCGACCACTGTTGCACTTCTCGTTGCCCGGTCGTCGGTTATTCTTCCACCATGGACACCTCATACGTGAGTACACACTCGCCTTTTCATACGGAAACTCTTTATGATACATTGTCAGTATCCGGCATCGATGATCGATCGCTTGATCTCATTGCATCTGTGACGTACTCATCTGATATTATTATTGTTAAACACTTCCCTGTTCCTCTTGTGAATTTTTTAAATATTTACTAAGGAAGTGCAAATTTAAATTTTGAAATGCCCTAAGCTTTATTTCAGAAACTCATTCGTGTCAATTCATCAAATATACTTGGACTTCCAGAAGCTGCTGTTTGTCATGGTTTTACTAATATACCAGCCGTCGCATGGACAGTATCAACCACCTCAACAAGCAGCAATTTTAAGCGATGCGAGATACCAGGCTGGTGATGGAACATTCGGTGCGGCTTACTCGCAAGAAGACGGCGTCGAGTTCAAAGAGGAGAGCGACATTTATGGAAATCGTCGTGGGTCTTACTCCTACGTCGATCCAACGGGTCAAAGACGCACAGTGTCTTATACAGCTGGCAAGAATGGATTCCAGGTGTGTTACAACATGCTCTGGCATTCGGATAAACATGTGCAACTTAATTCAAATTATTTGAATAATTACGTATGACGAAACATAAATGATTGACTAAATTAAGATGACCATTGGGTTTAATCAGTGTGTTTTAATTTTATTAAAAGGCAACCGGCGACGGGATTCCTGTGCCACCGCCGCAAGCTCCGCCGCAACCGGAGTACGAGCCGCTACCGCAGTACAACTCTCCCGATTATCAACCACCGCAGTACAACCCGCCTCCGCGGCCGTATCAACGTCCGAATCCACCGGTGTACGAACCTCAACCGGAACCTCAACCAGAGTATCAACCCCGACCGCAGTACCAGCCGAGACCTCAACCACCGTCCATCCCCTCGTACAACCCCCCGCCACAGTATCAACCCCCGGTTAAGCCGTTGCCGCAATACAACGCGATAACGACACCAGCCCCGAGGAGATTTTATCCACCGGGGAAACTGAACTTCAACAGGACTCCAGATGGCTACTCATATACCTTTAGCAAAACATAAGTAGGTACGTAACGTGTAATTTGAACGAGATCACCGCGAATCTTGTTTCATAAAGTGAAGTATATTTTTGGGTAAATGTACTCAATTTAAAAAATAGTTACTACAAACGAAATTCATCTCTACTGTTTTGTACACATGCTTTATTTTTCACGTAAAATCTGTTTAATTATTAGCATTTAAGTGCGTAACTATATGGCGCCGTAATTAATTTAGGGCGAAGTTAGTTACCGGTTAACTGTAATGAAATTGTGTAAATAAATTACAACTGTCAACTCATACGAATTTAATGTTCCGACGAATTTCGACGAATCTGATATCCTGGTTTGAACAGTGCAGACGGAAATTGGATCAAGTGCGCGATCATGCGTTAATAATGAAGAGATTGTAGATAGTCAGAGGCTTGTCCATGATCTTACTGCAAGGTTCCGACGTGAAACAAGTTGAACTTCCTCATAAAACGCTGCATAAATACATGAATTCATGAGGAAATGCAATAGATTGAATTGATACATTTGTATTACCGATTAGAAATGTGCAAACACGTTCAAACGTTCGCTAATGAGTCATTCAATCATAAGAATGAATCAAATAGAGACTCTTAATTTGACTATTAAGACACCTAATATGAATTTCCATCAGGTTTTTCATATCACAATATAAATTATAGACTAATGATAAGAGTTCAAACTTTCCATAGAGTAAAAAATGCGAACAAATAAAATTATTTAGTATTTATTTTTATTCTACGAACGTCGTTGAACCGCATTTTCTCGAACGATCCGATTGGTCGACGCCTCGCATTTTGCATAGCCACTTTCCTTCACAAATGCGAGCACTATCCCGCGCACTTCGGGGTCACATTACTTTCATTTAGTAACCTTTGCTTTGGCGTTCCCAACGTTGTTAAGACAAACCGTAGAGAATCCCACGATCCCGGGAGGGTGGATCCGAGACTCATTTATACTTGAGCCGTGCCCTCGAGCAAACATCCAGTGAGAAACAACGGTGAGCGGTGTACCATAAATAAAAAATAAAGCAAGGAAGAGTAGCGGAAGACGGGAGGAAGCGATATAAGAGTAACAATTAAATGCTATTTAAAAATAATGATCAAATACAT